CTCCCCCCACCCTAAAGTGACTAGAATTGAAATACCGCTTCCTCATCGCATTCTGATACCTACGTTTTCGCCCAATGGTCTTTTCCCCTTCTGAAAACGCCTATGCATAGCACCTTTTCTCCTCCTTTACGTGAGCAACATCGAATCAAAAGACGGGATTCGGATGTGAAAGTAGGAACCACTTCTTCTACGGTACTTTTTTCTCGAATAAAGGTTGTAACGGTCAATACGTTCTATCGGACAATATAAAGAAAAAAAAGGCTTACCTACGAAAACGAAGGTGAAGTCGCCGAGAAATTCAGCGATCATTTTCGTGATCAGTGAGTACTTCTTCCCAGAGTTTTCAAAGCTTTGCGTGTCCGAAACGCTCCAGTCCGTGAAACGCTGCAAACAAATTTGATTGAAAATGCAAAGCAGACTGAGCAGATTCCTTCCAAAATTTCTTCCACATTAACTGATCATGAGGAAGAAGTTGGGCGTACCACTAGGCCTTCCTCATCAGTTCGCTTTCCTTTTCTAAGACGTTACAGAAAAAGAGTGCGCCAATGAGAAAAGCTCAGCGGTTGACACCTACCAGACCAGTACCCTTCTGAGAGACAAATTCCATTTCGATTTACGTTTTTGGATCCAGGAGGTGGATCCAGGAGGATTTCTCATGCGACAGCACTTTCCAAGCACTTGCTCATTTTGCTCATTTCCGAAGCAATACATCAATTTCACTCTTCTTATCAAAGAAACAATGTCTGAAGCGCCCTGTTTGCAGAGGTCTTATACACCGACCTACTTTATTGTGAAAGCTGTCATGTCACAAGATCCGATGATGAGTGGAGGGCGTTGAAAACACAAGGGAACCGCTCATATAACAATGGGAAAACAACTTCATAGGCGGGATGTTAGGGCCCGTTGAGCGCTATTTCCTTTCCGAAGTCACACAGAGATATTAAGGGCTTTCCTGTTGAGTAGCTGATGCATCTAGCATGGCCCGCTTCGACGGCGAGACCATCCCTCTTTTGACCTGGTGGTTTATTCTTTGAGCCATTTCATTGGCGCATCTGATCATTTCTCCGTACATGAGGTTCTACCTTGTCGTGGTGTACGAGCTTGAAGCGAGGATCGGAATACCCGTCAGGGTAGAGTTACGCCGGAACCCCATACTGATTTCCGTGACAAAAGAACCCAAATGCCCAAGCTCTTGGTGGGACGGCGCTCTCCTTGAGCGACAGGAACGCCCTAGCAAGGCTATCCTGTGGGACGAAAAATGCTACGACCACTTCTTACATTTGCCTTAGTCCCCTGCAGGCTGTCACTGCTCAGTCGTGTAGCGCTGGTTCTACACACAGCCAAAGGCTCATAATCTCAGGTCAAGCTACACAAACAGGAGAAGGACAAGAGGAGTCATCTGATAACCTGCACGTACAACTGCAGAAGTACTGATCATGTTGTTTTTCTTGATGTTGAAAACAGTGTTCCTTCAGAACGTCAATGACGATTACCCTTATTGGTGGGACCTTTACTTCTGGGAGGACTTTTCTCCCATTCCCTCTATCTTACGCCTGACAGTACCTTCTCTCGAGCAAAGTGCAGAAGTGTTCGTTGTGGATTCGATGCTGTTAGGGGGCTGGGATGATGGAAAACTTGTTGGCACGGCGCCAGCAAGTTTTCCATCAATTCAGGTCGCTTCCGGCATCGAGAATTGGTTGAAAACGGAATGACTACTCGCCAAACCTAGCTTCCTCGGACACGCACCAGCGTCCGCGGCAAGCAAGACTGTAACAGCGTTGAAAATGATTACGTGTTTTTGTTCTTCATAAGATTTTACCGCGAACAAATCAAACGTCCTTTAAAGAAGTTGGTAGAAAAACCTGCACAGGAGGAGAAACACTATTTTGAACCTCATGGGTCGGATTTGAATAGCCATGGAAGCCTCAAAGAAAATCAAAAGTGTACACCACCCCCGAAGTACTGATTCTGATGCAGCCTTTTTGCTCTTTATAACCCCGTTGTTCTGAGTTTGGGTTTTCAATGCGACACCCCCCCCCTCTTCATAATCCTTTTATGTATACAAAATTCAAGGTAACGCACCTTGAGTCCTTTCGTGAGATCATAGCTCTGCTGGACGGGTGAGTTCCGATCATGATCGCTCATCCTGAAAGACATTTTTCATTAGATACTCTCCTTTGAGAGCCATTTCAGTCTTCGATAAAGCAATTACACTCGTATTATTTCTTGGAGACGCATCCCCAGTTCTTGTACGCGAAGCCGTGGGCGGAGACAGTCAAATCGATTACCTCCCTCAATGGCGGTACCGTCCCTTTGCTGCCGTTGAGGAAGGTTGCGCCAATAAGAAAGGCAGGATGGGCGACTGCTGCCACTTTGTCTCCGCCCACAATGTTACCGCCTAGATCTTCGCCCTCGAGAGGACTTCTTCTAGGACATAAACACCAATTTTCGTGGGAGACTTCCATCACAGAAAATACTGCCCCAGATAGGGCGGAAAACATCCATATCTTGACAAAAGTGCTGTCCCGGCCAAATTCAACTAGATCAGCCACGCTTTCCCCACCTCCGGGACATGCAGCGTACATCGCGACAGAGCCGTAGCTAATATTTTAAAAGGAACACAAATGAATGTAGCATTGATTGGAAACCAGAAAAACAAAGAAGGAAGCCTATAAGGGAGAAGAATAAAGCCTTACTCGCGCAGGAAGTTGAAGAGTGGACGACTTTCTCTTACGTTAATTGGACACTATTTTGCAATTTATTTGGGCTGCGTTCGGCAATAATGGAGGATTACATACGTCTCTCAACGTAGACTTTTGTCAACATCACTATTACTTGTCCGCTAAGCCGAAGGGAAGACCTCGACGGGATTACAGAGTAGTTCGGTAGCAGTTTCGGCGCAGTTCTGCTTGGTGGGGGCATCACTCAGTAAGATTGTACAGACCACATTGAGAATTGCACTTTCCTGTGACCAAAGTGGCTCACTCCAAAAACCTCTCAGCATCACAGGACCCTAGACGATTGACTAAAATGAGGCTTGAGTCAAGGTGAACGAGCAGAAGGAACTAGCAAAAGTGCAAAATGCCCCTCTAAGCCGAAATGCGTAGTTTCTTACCATGGACCAATATTGGTTGTCAAAGCGCGTATACGTACTCACAATAGCGGTAGGCGAATGTGGTAAAAGGAAAAATTTTACGAAAAGCTTGCCGAACAAGACAAAAGAAAGTTAATATCAGGTTGTCCCAAAAGTTCGTGGACATTTTTTGAATCTCGTATCAGATCTTTCCGCAGCCATTTCGAGATCCAGTTATGTGGTCTATGGGAAGTGTGGTAAGTAAGCATCCCACTGCTTCTTTAACGCCCCTCCCAGTCGCTGTCCTTATCCAAAACAGTAGCAGAAATTCGACAATGTTCGACACACTTC